GTGTGTGTGTGTGTGTGTGTGTGTGTGTTTGCCTTTTTGAAAATGCCAGTCTGAAAGGTTAGGAGGAGAAAAAAAAACCTGGGAGTTGTACCGACACGGGGAGACGGTGTCTGGATGTCTCGCGGGAGGAGGGCTCAGTCCTGCAGTTGAACACACACAAAAGCGGAATACGCCTCACACAAATGAAAATAAACACAGATCTTGACATTTAACGTTTTGCAGCGGGGGGCCTCTTCGCGGAAATTCAATGGCGATTTTCCTGAAAGAAAGTGAAGAAGCAACAATTTTCACAAACGACAGATGAATGCACAGTGTGTTGTTACATACAGTATAATATACACATGGGGTTTCTGAATCGTGGTGGTTTTTAGAAAAAGTCAGAGAGCAGTTTCAGCATTTCAAAATATGAAAAAAGAAAAGTTCTTCCTCCGTTAGATAAACGTGGTGAGAATTTCTCTGGGAAGCGTTAACAACATTTACCGTGGACAGTAAAAGACAAACAACAGGAACACAGAACCATCCCGTGGTCTGACTTTTTGGTTTGGCGACAGTCTACGTGATTTGTTGCCTTTGTTTCCCATCATCCTTCACTGTAGTGTGACAATCGAGCGAGAGTGTTTTTTGATGATAGAGAGCCGCGGCACAACAGAGGAGCAGATGAGAAACACAGCTTATCGGACGACATTGCCTCTTTTTTTTCCATTTAATCCAGGGGAGCAGAGAAGAAGAAGAAGAAGACAGAAGGCTCCTCATCGCATAAATAAATCAGAAAGAGTGAAAATGGGGAAACATCTTTTTTTTTAAATATGAAATATCAGTTTTGTTATTCATGCTCCTTGAGGGAGAAGCGTGAAAGGACTATTTTCTCTTTTCTTCCAGCCCTAGCGTTTAGTCAAGTGCAAAGAAGTGTTTAGTGGAGGCGTGTGTAATTTGGCACATGATTTCTTTTAGGTTTAAGTGTCAGCTATGCACACATGCGCACGTACAGCACAGTCGGCATGAGCTTTGGGATGTTGAAAGAGAAACAGAAGGTCCTCAGAGTGGGTCCGTCCGGGGGAGAGTTTGAGGGATTCACATATTTCTGTTGTTGTTGTTTGTGATACTGGAATTATACGAATCCATCCATCAACTGAATATCTGAGAGGTTTTTTTTAAAACTGACAAAAAGTTATAGAAATTTGTTAAAACTACATAATATTTCAAAATACATGTGGAATCAAGTAAAACTTTATATATGCACTTTATTTCCTTATTTCTTTTAAAACCTTGATTTTTCTTCTAGTTAATTTTTTCCTTAAATATATGCATATAAGTGTGATTTATTTTTTTTCATTATAGCTCTTTCTTCAGTATGTATATATGTACATTATGTACTTTTAAATAGATCGAGAGCGGGTGAGGATTGATGGAAGTGTGCGTGGGGAAATAATGCTAGTTTATCTATTTACACCATGCTCTGAGAGTCACTTGGGGTCCGGTGTAGACTGAGTCGGGGGTCTGGGGGTATATACTGGTGTGGATGGTTATAAGGCGGAGGTGGGGGAGGTAAGGGGGGCTGGTGGCCGTCGCTGCCATGGGAGCTGTCCGGGGAGCGGACCGGGGTGGACATGGCCGAGTGGCTGAGCTGGCGATGGCTGTGGTGGTGATGATGGTAGTGGTGGTGTGTGGGCGTCTGGCTGAGGAAGGCCTCAACGCGTCCGTGCCCGCTGTTGTCGAGCATGATGACCTTGACGATCTGTTGACACTGGAAGAGCGTCTCGGGCCGCAGGTCGGACATGCTGACGGCGGACTGGTGTTGCTGCTGGAGGTGGAGGTGATGTGCGGGGGTGCTTGCTGCTGCCTGCAACTGCGGGTGCTGAGGTGGAGGCGCCGGCCCCTGGATTAGCCCCTGGGGTGCCTGCTGGAAAAGTAGCTCCCCTCTGTGGTTAAGAAGGGCCACGCTCTCGGGACTCCGAGCCGTGCTGCTGCTGCTGCTGAGCTGGTACGTCTGAAGCCTGTTGTGAATTGACACCTAGTTTAGAAAACAGCCAAGAGAACAGCATCAAATGTTATAAAACTGGTTCCTCCTCTACAATCCGTCAAGCCCTCTTTTTTTTTTTTTAGGGGGGGTGGTGAACGCACAGCACACACACACAGGGCATGCGTGGGGGCTCAGGTGTTGGGGGTCAGTGGGGGTGCAAAATTATCGTGACCACTGTACACTCCCCTCCCTCCACTCCCACATGAGGTGGGAACACCGGTGCGTGATAGGGGTCAGGGGGACAGTGGTGGGGAATGGGGGATACGAGATTTGGTGCGATGCTACATTACGGGGGCCGGTGGTTCCAAAGGGGACACTGAGGGCCCCTGTGTCTCCCTTCCAAACCACTGTGTGGCGCTATGGCGACAGCAGACACGAGGAGGCTTGGGGGGTGGGGGTGGGGTCGGGATAACCAGAACATAGACGGAGGTCATATGTAGAAGAGGGAGAAGTGGAAGAAGAGGAGGAGTGGAGGTGAGCAGACTGACAACCACAGACATCCACAGGCAACACATCAGAATGCAAACCTCCAGTTCACACATTTATTTCATCTCTTTATTTTCTCTTTCTCTTTTCCTCAATGTTTCCCTTTGTCACATCTTTACCTTAAATCTTGCTTTAAAGCCTCTTCTACATTGGCTCAAACTGGATTTCTCAAAAGTAAAATGCGGAGTGTAGGAAATACACAACCACAGCGAACAGGCATGTTGTTTTCATGGACTGTAGACTTCTCTTCATTTCAAGGGAGAACATAAGAGACATCTGTTTGTGGGAAATAAAAGGTATTTTTGTCAACTAGCTCATTTGTTAGCCGCTATGCAAAGTTTGAGTTCCATTTGCACTTGACGTTGCTTCTCAGACGGCTTCAGTTTTATGAATTTTTTAGTTTTAAATAACTTCTGTACAGTGAGGGCATCAATGAGAAAATAGTTTCCCACTAAAACTTTTCAAAATCGTGACTGTGTGAAAAAGGTCAACGGTAATTTTCCTGCATTATAATTAAATGTGAAGTATCTGAGGTACGATCGCAGCAGTTTGTCTCTCACTCTCTTACAGCAGCCGGTGTGATGCTCGTGTGAAAGGACTCCATTAACATTTGCTCCCATTCAATCTGCCAGACATTATTTCTCCTTGACAACTTTAGCACTAAAACTCAAGATACGGCATCACGGAGCTCTGAAGCACTTAAGATGGAGAATGACTTTCTTTCTGCTGCCTTTCAAAACTTTGATTTCTAAATCAACAGAATAACTTTGTTCCAAGGATGAACAGAAGAATTTCACTGCAGGTTTTCAAGTTGTTTTTGGCAGTTTAAGTAGATTGTCAGGTATCAGTTATTTGGCTCCTTAAAATTCAGCAGAAATTAGGCTGATTCGATGTTTTTGAATGAGGCAATTTCTAGGATCCTATAAAATAGAATTGTCAAAGAAGGCGATGCTGATCAATCAGCAGATCGTTAGATCTGAATCAGTTAACGAGATACTTAAGACTACAGAAGCACAAGCAGGGTCTCTGAGTTATTTATAATACAACTGCAGCTAACCATTAATTTCCTTGTTGTTAAAAACGAGAATATAAATGGAATATTCAATTGCAACTCATGTCAACATCATTATCAAAAAGAAATCACCAGTGACACTGTAAAAAAAACAGTGGTGTGCTTCTGACCCATCTTCAGAATCTCACTCCCTGTGTTCATGTCCCTGGTATGAGCAGGATTTCTGTGAGTGACCTTCCTGGTCTAAAAGATAAACATTTTTTCAGCAGCTCCCCAGCAGCCACTGACATTTACTGGTGAAGACCAGCCTGAGGTGCAAACATAAGGGAGAGGGGAAGACCTAAAGTCAGCCTCATATTAGAGAGGGATACAAATCATTTGCATTACATTAGATTGAAGCTTTACTGCAGGTAATAAAAATAACCTTTTTATTTTATTCTTGCTTTAATGTTTTTCTCTCGCCCGCGTGCTTGCTTTGCATTAACATCTATAAAACCTCAGATATTATTGTACACTTTAAACTCTTTCAAATTAAAGTTGCATCCTATTATCAGCATCCAAAGCTTGCTACAGAAGAGAATGCATCAAATATTGAAACGCACAATAAAAAGATAATTTTGTTTTTATGTCTTTAAACGTCTCTTGTGCAGTTTCCTCTGCCGTAATTATTGCTATACAGGCATTTATGGTTATGGAAATGAAATGGTTGTGAACACTTTCAGTTTGAAGTGTGTATGTTATCACTTCTTCTCTTACAAGCTACTGAGTGAAGACATCCAGCCTTTATATCAATAAACTGTGTGGAATTAAAAATCCACTTCATGTCAAACTGACCCTGCGTATGTTTGGATTTTCACTATTGATTCCACTGCTGCACATGAGGCCTAACAGGATGGTAATTGCAAAGCCCCATGGGTAGTGTAGTTCAGCTGTTTTCTCGCTCGCAAAAATTTTTCGCACGACAAGTTCTCCCCCCTCCCTCCCCCCCAGAGCTCTAGCGAGGGCTGGGTGAGGTGAAGACACTGGGTCAAACAAGCGTAAAATTTATCTGCCTGCATGTTGCTGTGTTAATTAAGGTCTGGGAGCTGGATGTGCGCACACACACACACACACACACACACACACACACACACACACACACACACACAGTATATGCATTCCACTTGTGTCCTCAGCTACTTTTAGCGACGGCTGCTGTCCCCGAAGGAGTCAGAATTTCTGCCTGAGCCTTTGAAGCTAATTACAACCTGTTCCTTTTAAAGCGCGCACATAATATTTAAGCCTCTGCGTCTGTTGCATTTTCAAAGAGCAGAACCAGGTCTGTTTTTTCTTTCCGTTTCAAAGCAAGACTTCCAGGTTCAGGTTAAGATTTTGTAATGCTCTCACTCAAAACCCTGTGCTCACACTCAGATATACCTTAAATGTGCTTATTAGAATGGCTCTGCTTCAGCTCTTCTCCTTGAGTTAATGCTGCTTCTGTGGCAAACGTCTGCTCTCTAGATTTATTCCTAAATTCCCCAACCAATAGCAGGTGTAGTGTTGACAAGTGAAATTGTCCCACCTTTGTTTGAACTTTAAATCGGTTGCTTTAACCTGGTTCATGCACTCCACCCTGTATCGCTTTATTTTTGCTTCCCTTCAGACTCAATGACGACACCTTCACGACGCAGGAGTCCAGCAGATTCCTGGTCGAGGGTCTCAAGTTTTTTACATTATGGGAATCCCTGTATTTTACGGGAACAGTACCAACAACAATAGTAACCACAAAGAGGCTGCTCTCTAGCCCTGAGGTCCTGTGGAACTCTTTCTCCTCCTACGTTCGTGATAACACGCTGCACTGACTCCTACGGCTCTGACTTACCTGTCGTTTGGGACACAGCCCTATCACTAAGCACTTACCTCCACTGCATTGTGTCCGCTTCTCTCGTCTACCTCCTGGTTTCCTGAAGGCAGGGAATACAAAAGAGAAAGTGGCGGCAATATGTCCGCGTTAAACCGTCATTTCCTCTTTTACTGCGTCTTAAAAATAAACTTTTTTTTATGAATTGAAAACAGTTTAAATTTAGGCACTTTATACGCCTCCAATTTAAAATGTTCGTTCTCAACAGCAGGCACATCAATGCGAGCGGGAACACAGCCTCAGTGGTGGGTTTTGAAATTAGGGAAGCGACAGTGCAAACACAATCACACACACCTGATGTGGAGCCCTGTTTGCTACGCAGCTCGAGCTGTGTGCCGTTGTTCTTTACCGAGTGCGTCTTGGCTCCCTGCTGCTTCTCCAGCTCCCCTGCGGAGAGGAGAAAACAGAGAGGATCCAGAATAATCACCGTGAGAGAGAGCAAAGGAGGAAGATGGGTAGAGGGTGATGAAGGAGTGACAACATTAACAGGAATATCTTTTGTCTTTCAAAAGTGTACGTGCACACTCCTGGTGCCTTCCTCTCTGACTCTCTCCTCGAAGCTCAGAACCTCCCTAATTAAACTTCACACTTGATGGTAATTGCCTGTCATTTCCAATCATAATGACTAAATGTTGTTTTTGTGTTCTAATTTTGACACTAAACCTCAAAACTGCCAGGTGAGACCATAAGGGTGCAGTAAAAGATTTCCGTGAGAGTGACAATTATTCCTTCTCCAGTTAATCTCCGGGAAAATATATTAGAATACAACTATATTTTTCGAATCATTTTCTAATTTATTTAGAATGTAATGTGTTGGCACTAATAAAAAAGATGAAAGGTTTAATTGGTGCATTGAGTTGTTCGTTCAAATCCAGTGTAAACAGGAAGCGGATTGACAACTTGCAGATGGTTGCTTGGTTACAGAAAGTTCTTGGACCAGAGAACAGCAATGATGAAAAGTAAAACAAGGGATTCCGTTTCTTGTACATACGAAGAGACGGAGTTTCACATATGTCACTCGAGTCGTGATTTAAAGAACCAATCAGGAAACTTGTTCCTTTTAGGTGTAGCAATGGTTATGGGTTAAATCTGCAGCAGTGTGGATGTAGCCTTAGTCAGCTGAACATGGCAAATATGAAATTCCTCAATTCAACATATACAGTTTAAAGAATATATTTTCAATATTTTTGTTTAAATTTAACATCAAATTCATATGATAAATAGAAATTCTTTGTTTTCATGTTGTAACTTAAGATCTAATAACATTAATATCATCTTCACAACAACTGAGATGGGAAAAAAAATGCTCTGAGATTCTGGAAGTCCAAACACAAGCGAGCGTGCTTCAGGCAAAGGAAGAAAGGAAGATGAGATGTTTCTGTTCCATATTATGTCTTGAGCGTGAACTGTTGTTATCTATGTCCCAACATGCATTGTTGCTCATATGTGTGCTTTGGTTTGTGTGTGTGTTTTTGTAGCTCGTCTCGTTGCTCGACTCCAGAGAGAAAAATAACTTCCATCTGTCAAGCCCTGCCCGTCTCCATATGTTGTTGACTGCTCTCCCCCGGCTGCGGACCCTCCCTCTGCACGGAGGCTAATGCAGTTGCGTCAAATCCCAGCAGGGGTGTTCTCTTTGATGCCCACTGGCAGGATCCAGACTGTGGAAGCTCAGGTTTTTCCATGTGTGTGACTGCTTCTTAAGTATGTGCATGTCTTATTGTCTGGAGGATTTTCATATGCACACAAAAACATTCCCTTCCGGAATCTGTTTTGGCTGCAGAGGAAAAATGCAAAAGTCTGACCCCAAACAAACCCAACACAAAGAGGATGCTGACTACAGGTCGGCAAATAATATATAGAGAATTTTCCATCGTTATAAAAATCTGTGTTTTATTTTAGAAGGGTACACTTTTAGAATAGAAATAGAAAATTTCAGGGCTTGCACTTACATTCAATACGAATCTGTTCCATCTCCGACACCTCTGCGATCGATTCCTTCAGGTCCTCAATGAACTTCAGCAGCTCCTCAGCACTTTGGGCGCAGAAGTTAAGAACCTGCTTCTTGTCCGATCCGAAGGGTGAGAGGATGGTGATGCCGTGAGGGTAGTCTGAGGAGAACAGAGACAGAAGTAAGCTCTGAAAGTTTTATCCTTTATATTCAGACCAAAGGTTGGTGTGTTATGGTTTGTTCATGTCACTGTGACTTACATTCGTTTTCAAACAGGTGGAACTGCATGCCCAGCAGGCCCATGGCTTTGCAGAACGTATAGGCAGCGGGACTCTTCTTCTTTGGACAAAGTTTCAAGATCTGCAGACAACAAGCAAATAATGAAAGTTATATTGAGTAAGTAAAAAAGTTACGTTTAAATATAGTTGGAAAACAATACAGAATCTATTAAAGTGCATATGAGACACACCTGGTTCACATTAATCACCTGAAAGCCTCTTAAAACTGCATCATCTGCTTTTTAAATGATGACAATCAGCAAATCTTAGAGGTGTAGGTGAAGTATTTAAAAAGTGAGGGATATATAGTAGATTTAAGTTAATGGACATGTTATGATTCTGTGAAGTATTAGGGTCACTCAAAGGGGAAAAGTTGTAGTAGTTCTCTGTTGTTTGATTCTGAACTTTTCAAAACGTCCTGTTGTGTGGACTTTTAATTTGTAATTTAAACTTTGAGTTGGACTCTTCTTTTTTTGTGGTAATTAATTATTAATTTAGGACTTTTAATCTCCTTGTGTTTGAAATTTGTGTTTTAAAAAAAATATATTTGGAGTTTTAGATTCATATCTTTGTTTGCACTTTGAGTTGGTTATTTCCTGTTTTACTTTGAAGCCTCGGCCCTTGTGCGTCTCTTAAACTTCACCTCCTGTGCTTCTCTGGTTTCCTGCTTCCTGATTGTTTGCAGCAGCTCCATGAGTCTCACCTGAGTTTCATTACCTCTGCCTCATTTTGTCTGAGTCATAAGTGACTGAGTGTGAGGACATGACTCTCTTGTGCGTCCCTGTGGTCAGTTTGGGACTTTTCATCTCATGTTCTTTACTCTCTTCATGTTTGAGGCACTGACTGATCCCATGTTCCAGGAGGAGGAGACGAAAGGTAGTTTTCAGATATTTCATTATTTACTTTCATTTGAATGTATGAACTGGCAGGGAGCTGTTTGATTATACTCGTGATAACCTTTTATTTCTTGTAATGTCAACATTGGTTGCTCCTCTGATGCTAATTGCTAACTTGCCATTTGTTTTGTTTAACCCACAACGCTACGAACTGTGGGAAACTTCCTTTGGTAAAAGAAATGATGACATCCTCTTCACTAAATGTGACAATGAGAGCAGGTCGGCAGGAGCAGTAACAACCCTGAATGACCCTGAATTTTTAAAAACACAACATTTGGGATTATCCCCGAGATCTACAGATCACAGAGCAACCTCAAAGGAAGCTCGGAGAGAGCAACTCATTCAAAACGCATTCAAAAAGCAAACTGAGTCAATATTGGTGTACACTGCCATCTTCAAAGTGTCCTGGTTCTGCTGCTCTAGTTTGGATGGAAGACACGGTGGCGAGCTTCTATCAGGATGGATTAGAGATGTTGTGAAGCTTTTTCATTGAATGACCTTCCCACATATAGAGAAAGATGAGGTGAATCTATTTCGCTGCACCACTGGGGAACATAATTTACCAGGCAAGGTGTATTAAACCAATACATCACATAGGCACTTTAAACGCTTCTCGACGTGTTTAAGCGGCAAGAACGGGGCCCAGATTTAAAGAAAACTCCCCCGTCGCTTCACTCCATAGTAAAAAATCTTTAGAAGACAATTTCTGCCTCGCTGTCCAAACTGTCGGGATTAAAACGTATGAATGGCACCGCTAACATTTACTGCTGAATGAAGAGAATTCCCTGTGATGGTGAGAGATAACTTTGTTTTCACCTCCTACGGAAAATCAACCTTTTCCTGCAGCTGCTTATTGCATGTCATATAAAAGCAAGGGGGGGGGGCTATTTTGCTTTTTCTTTCGCTGGTGTGAGATCAACATGTTTTTGTGAGAGTAGGTAAACGCTGAAGAGAGATGAGGTGGATCTTACAGCCTTAAAGTGACTCTGTAGGGGAGAGATCTGTTCTCATGATCTCACTACAACTCTCGCATTTGCATCTGTTATTAAAAGACATGGCTGGATGGGCCTGAGTTGTGAAACGACATAAGAGAAGAGCGGGAGCCTCGAGAAATGGCTCACAGTCAAAGTAAGTGATGGTGCGTTGAAGCTGTCACAACATAATAAGCAGCTTTAAAGCTTGAACGTGTGCAGCAGCAGCAACATGTGAGGGCTGGTTTAAAAGAAACACGTGAAAACATCAGCAAATATGAATCTTTACGACTGAGTATCCGATTAAATGAAGGTCTGTGTCTTTTTGTTTTACTTACCACAATTAGATCGTTGAAGAGGAAGACTTCTCTCTGGTGCGCCGCCTGTTTCTGGGCCTTGTTGACATCTGTCACCTCAAAAAGTCGACTGCAGCAAACCAATCTTCTGTGAGGGACCGAGAGAACCTGCGGAGACGCACACACACACACACACAGGTAAATCTTCACTCACTCAGATTAAATGACCAGGAGGCTTAGAAAGAAAAATCAATCAATGCCAGATGAAGACACAAGGAGACTTTACAACCAGAGAAACTCTAAGAAAGATTTTAAGAGCTACACTTTGAATACGATGGACTCTGGCAACAGTACTTAAAGTACACATTAATTACTGTGGTTAAGGGCTGAAGTATTATTAAAAAAACTCATTAAACTCAACAGGCTGAAACAAACTAGTAACATAAACTGGGATCTAACAGATCTTAAAACAGATCTTAAAATGTTAATCAGCAATAAATAAGAGTAATTGTTAGTGCTCTCTCTATATCTTACATATATTTGAGGTTCCTTTTACATTTTAGAACATGAAGAATTTACCTCTTCATCTCTTTTGGTCGTATCAGACATTGTTCTTATTCACATCAAAGCATATGTCTGTCACCGTATTTTCCCTGTTCCAAGCAAGTGAACTGATTTTGAAGTAGGAGTTTTAAGGTAAAGTTGCAAACTGTTGCTTTATTTTTTTTATTTTCAACTGTAACAAAGAAGTAGCAGACCAGGCATTGATAAAATGTAAGGGTTAATAATAATAGATAGTAAATTGTGTATATGTTTTCATGCTGTCATCCTCTGCTACAAACCGTTCCCCTTCAGTATCTGATCAGAATAAGTGTTTTATACTTGTACATTGAATTATTATGCCTTTCTCCAGTTGTGTCCCTCGAGGACTCAAGCTTCTCTTTCTGGATTTAAGTGCTTTTCCAAGTTTAAGCAGATTACAGGGGGAAAAAAAGATGGCTCATGCCTTCAGAGACTGATCTAATCATGTTCTTGTCTCGTCCGGCTTTCTGACTTCGATTGCTGCAGAAATCCCAACACCAGCTGAAAGGCAGCTGTTAGATATGATGCAAATACACACAATCTTTCTGATTTATTTTTTGTTATCTTTTTTCCCCCCCTTGTGTTATTTGCAATGCAGTGAATGCACACACTCTTTCTCTCCTGCTCTGCCATCACTCATCACTGCAGGGTTTACAGCCTGCAGCAGCCAGCCTGCTTTCTCATTACACTAATGTCAGAAACATGTAAAGACATCATTAGCCTGAAATGCCTCCCACTCACTCTGGAAAAAGAAACAACAGTCCTTTTACAGACAGGATTAAGAAACAGTTTGACAGGAGAGTTTTCCAACGTGTTCATTAACTAAACTGCTACAGCTTCAAATTCAATAAGGGTTGTTATTTGGCTTTCATCACAACATCAAATATTTACATCAACCAAACTCCTATTATGGAGAAACTCATTAAGCCAAAATGATCCTGTGTGCGACTCCCTCATAGCATAATAAGTTTATAATCTACAATGCAGGGACTCTGACACCTTCAGGGATGGATTGTGTTTCATGTTTTATTTTGGCAGAGAGTTGGTATGAGCAGCAGTAATCACTTCCTGTCATAACAATCCCTCATTGTTTAGCAGTTTTAGTTTTTTTTGCAACCAAATGTTCCTCAATATCGAGGACGTACAGGAAGAAGGATGTGGCAAACCGATAAACGAGATTTAGAGTTGAACAAGTTTTGTAATGTGTGTTTGTGGAAAGCATTTTAGGCTTAAAGAAATAACCAGATTACATCAGCTGGCTGTTATTATTCCCCAAGATCTCTCAAATAAACATCTTAATCTTAACTTCTGAGCTGAAACCCTCATGAAAGTCTCATGAATAGAGACAGTGGGACTCAACTCAACTCAACCCTTGTAAACTATGTGTATTTTGAGAAAACTTGAATAGTCTAGTATCAGGAGTCACTAATGGTCGGCCTGGATGCTCTTGTATGTGGACACCATATATACCATATATGTGAGATGAAAATAAGAAACTTGGCAACTTTTTTGTATATTTCATAAAGGATTGGAACGTCTCACACTGATAAGATTTGAGCAGAAATCCCTGAACAGTTTAAGTATTTTAAAAAAGCCTCTCAGTGTTGTGAGTGGGCACAGAGAACAAATACCCATATGATTCAGAGTAATCAGTCAATTATAAAGCTGAATACTTCTGCCCTGTGTGCCTGTCTCAAGCGTTCAGACATAAAATAAACTCCCCACATTATCCTGAACTTATCCGGAGGGGCTGCATGTGAAACGTCCAAGTCACTTGCTCCGGACATTTTCTGGAACGTTCCCCGCCCCTCTGTAATAACTGTAGGTCATGTCCTCCCTCGTGCTGCTGAACTCAGACACCACCCTTCTCCTGAATGCTCCGGACAACCTCCTGCTGCGTCGTTCATATGTGAAAGTCCAGATGATGTCAGGACCTAATCATTCGGAGTTCATGTCTGACAACAGCTCCACAGTTAACGACTCGGCGTGAACAAGTTCCACCATTATAGCTGAATGTTAACTGACGTGAGTCCAGTGTTGGGTTCAGTCACTGCCTTCACGCCGCTTATGTTCCCTCAAGTCTTTTAACCTTAAACAGTTAAAGGGAGTTTTAATGATAGCAGTGGTTAACGATGTATCTTGCAGGAGTAATGACCTGAGGTAATGATCGCACTGCTGATGAGACATTTAATGGCTAATAAATGTGCTCCGCCAAGGCTACTAAGGCTAGGTGGTAGTGACGAGGCCTTGAATAATGAGTGAGTCACTTGGCACTAAGTTGTGTGTGAAGTCAAAGTGGTCAACTCTATTTATTCAACAAACTCATTAAATACAGGAAGTGTGATGTGTGCAAAGATACTCGTCTCCTGAGAAGTGTTGAAATAAAAACCAGTCGGGCCACGAGACGTGTTACAACTGCTGTTTGATGCTGATGTCGAGAGCCTAATGAGGCAAAACTTAATTTTTGAGGTTAAGGTCAGGCTGTCCACATTTAATTGAAGTTAATGCAAAGTCGTAATAAGGATAGCTGCGCAAGTGTGTGTGTTAGGGCTGTGCGATTATTTCAAACTTTCACCTTGATCCCGATTTATGAACGATAAACAATCGGACTTCACACAAACTGAACGTCACATTTATTTAATTATTAAACGATGTTATTGTTGTCGTTAGCTTGTAATATCGGCACACGTCAGCGGAAACCCAACAGTTTGTGAATGCACGCATTGAGTAACGTATTAACTGACATTAACAAAATCAGAGGTTCGACATGTCGGTTTTGATTCATTTTCAGTTAATTACCCAGCCCGAGTGTTTGTACTGTTATTCCCTCTATATTTATCAGAGCATGTGGAGTCGTACTTGCGTCTTCAAAAGGCTAATTGGGGTTTAGACCTGGTGTCACTGTAGGGTTAAAGCTGCTCTAATCCACATTTCAATATTAACAGAGGATTAAATTATTATGTGAAACCTGAAAGGGATCAGTCATAGTGACACAACCAATAGAAACAAACAGTTCCCTCAGGAGGAAGCGAATCTCAGCCTCACACTCATCAGGCCGCTGTAAACACAACTGTGAATGAATGATAGAGATGCTCCGTATAAAGTGGGTTAACAACTGGTTGTGCTGCCCTCAATGGTCAAAGGCTTCATGTTAAACGGGTTAAAGGTTATTGACAGTGAGTTTAAAGGAGACACATTAAGTTGGTTGCCGTCAAGGGGGGTTTGTGCGTGTGCTTACCGTTTTCATGCCCACAATAGACTGTTCAACCTTGGAGACGTAGGTGACATGGTCTTCATTGGAGCGTAACTCCCTCAGCTGTATTCTCTCGTAGATCCCCACCACCATGTCTCTGGGGATGTCCGCTCCATCATCCACACCTGAGATGAGAAAATAGCTAACTAAACACCAGCATACACACATCACAGGGTGGTTGCTTTTCATTTTTTTTCCCGACAGTGGCATTACTACTCCGCACAGCTGTACGCCATGTGGTGTGGTACATTGAGTTTTCAATGGGTCAGGTTGTGTTCAGAGAAAATACTGAGGCTGCCTGGGACACTGCGGAGACACCAGGTGCAAATTATGTATGCAGAGGTTGTGAATGTAAGAAAATGACCTAATATAATTGTTCATTACGTATGATAGCAGCGTGATATGGGTTTGCCATTTCTGGTTTGTTTGTCCACGGGTTGATTTGTTGGCAAAATTATGCAAAAACTATTAAACTGAAGACATTAAACTTGATGGAGGACGTGGCCAGGACGTGTAAAGAACCCCTTTAAATTGTATTTTTTACGACAAATAAATCATTTTGGTTATCAGAGCGCTTCCATCGTTCTTTTATATTTCAACTATAAGAACTAGACAATCATTGTTCAGGCTTGGCGGTGGTATTTGCTCGATTGAGTGTAATTCATCACTTCAGACTCTCGTTTTATCGAAATGTTCCATATAGTTATGCTTCTCCTTTAAAAGGGACGTTAACTCCTTGTGCAACACACAAATCGTCTCGAAATACAAATAAGGAAATCACAGATAACACAGTACAGATGTTATTTTTCAGTGGGCTGGCGCACCAGATTTTAGTGGAAGCTGGTTTGTGTAATGTTGAACCATTGGGCAGCAGCTCTGACTCTTCCCTTCTGTTTTAATTGAGATAATGAATGCTCTATGGTTCTTCATTACTATTGGTTTCTGGTGTATAATTGCATTTCACCTCAGCCAATTAGCTGAGTGAACTATTCTTCTGTGGGCGAGGCGTGAGTGAGGAGAAACAGAGAGAGTACAGACAAGGGACGGCGGCTGAATAAACAGACGGCGCAATATTGTGACGGAGAAAAAAAACAAGATAAGATATCGGATACACAGAGAGAGAGAGAGAGAGAGAGACAGAGAGATAGAGAGAGTAAACAGTGAGCCGAGCAGAAGATAAATGAAAAGTCAGGGAGAGAGCGACATGTTTTAATTCACATGAGATACCGAAATTGATTTTCCAACTTAATTTAATTGCGGCGGGAAAAGTCTGCGTCAATTTATTAAACTTGTTCTGCAGCGACCTCAGTGTTCCCCAGCAAAACCTGCCTCTTCTTCAGCGCTCGGTGAACGAGCATCTGTTTGACGATGGCAGACGAGAATTACAGATTTCTCCTGTCTTTCGCTGTGACCTGTGATTTTGTAAAGCACAACGGGCAGGGAGTGAAGTGTAACCTTACATTTATCTTCTAGAATAATGCTGTGGATCTGCTGCCACCACAGGAGATAATCATCAGGGAGAGGAAACACTTTACTTTTAAGTCATATGTACAGTATATCACTTTTGAGTGAGCAAGTATTAGTATTGAATACCATATAGTCTTATGTCTAACTTTAAGTCTTACACTGCGATTATGGGATGTTTTGGAGGTATTTGGGATTTTCTTTGCAATATTATATCACGTCGTGTGTATGTGTGTGTATGCTGATAATCTATGCCAATTTAAAAAAATAATTTTCTTATCGTATAGGCAATGTTGTGGTGAAAAAAGATACCAGCCTGTATAACCCCCTTTAATTTGCCGTATAACACTGTATAGCACTATTTTTCATGATGCATAGTGGGAAACAACGAGTGCACCATATAGAGTATTCACGAAGCTGTCAGACACCGCTTCAAGATGAAGAACTCACTATATAGTGATTAAACCTGAGTTCAATTATCTAACCTCCTTTTGGGCGATTGTCTTTGTGCTGTTTTATATCGGCAGTACTTTTTATGTTTGCTGAGTCAGCTTCCTGTGTGCATGTTTTTAGCATCTACTTACTGAGTGAACCATTGTGCTCAAACATCACTTCTCAGGTGACATCACATGCACGTAAACTCTCAAGAGACTAACCTTCCTGCTTGAGCTGGTTACAACCACTAATTTCTGTCACTCTAACTTAATGCTCCTCCACACACACACACACACACACACACACACACACACACACACACACACACACACACACACACACACACACACACACACACACACACACACACACACACACACACACACAGGCAGTGTGTTTTACCTCGCAGGTTGCGTATGAAGTCCTCCAGCAGCATCTTGCGATCGGGCTTGATGTTGGGGCTGTACATGTCGGTGTTGAGCAGAATGATGGCGAAGGCCAGGATGAAGATGGTGTCCGGGTTGTGAAACTGCTGCACCACGTCAGGGTTGCACATGCAGTAGCGCTGGCTGTTGGATTAAGGGAGGAAAGAAAGTTGTTGGTTTTTTATGTAAGGAACAAAACGTGTATGAAGAAAAAAGAACACAGGTGGAGTGTAAAGACTAAGGACAAAGGAGGCAGCGTTTTAATGATCTATACTGCAGCAAGCCACCAGGGGGTGATACAGACAATTTGGCTTCACTTTGAAAAGCTGTGTTGTCATTGTATAGACTTGAGTCGTGACAGCAGAAGTAAACATGGAGGAATGACAGGAGGAGAGGAAGGGAAAGAGTAGTTAGAGGTGGTGGTATGTACAGAGTGAGATGAATTAGTAAAATATAAGGAAGAAGAGGAAAGATGAGAAGGGATAACAGACGGAAGACAAGTCACATATAATTTGTTATCCTCAGCCTCTACAGGCATCCCTCACTGCACAACATGCTCGTAAATGCCTAAACACAAGCTGAGCCTGAGTGTCGCAACAAAATAAGAGTTATGGCTTTAATTTTGCTTGTGGCTTCATTGGAAGCAGTTAGCCGCCCCTCAGCAGGTGCTGTGCTCAAACACCGTCTCGCTGTATAAACACATTCATCCCACTGGACTGGATGCTCACACGGATCACTGTGAAATAAGTGTGGGAGCAAAAACCCCCTATCTTCTGTGATTTACCCCCATCTTCAAATCATTATGTTGACGAAATAAAAATAATAAAGTTCCATCCTTCTGTTGTTTATCTGCTGACACTACACAAACGCTGACAAAGTCCACTGAGTCTTTAGCCATAATTAAACACTCTCCAACATTTATGGGCCCGGGAGCTGGATTTACTCGGGTAGTTACTATGCCGGAAGGAAGAAATATGACGTTTGAAATCCCTGATGTGGCTACTTTTTTTCCTGCAGGACACAATGGAGGATCAGTTTAATCCAAAAAAACAACTAGATATCAGAGGTGGCTATGGAAGCCGGGAATCGAACAGTTTTGTAGACACATGTATTGGGTGTTTGCATACGTAGTGCTCTGATGGTGGAGAACCAGAAATGGTTTCCGTCTCTGTGAAGTGCATGAATACTTCTTGGTTAGCGGATGGATAAACAACAGTACATCTAGATATAATCAGATATATGCAGTGTAAAGGGAAATGAGGAGATGTGTGCATGTGTGTTTTTGTGGACCCTGTGCACCGGAGTGTATAATTGTTACTTTAATCAGTCATTTCCACACAGCACCTTTTTTCAGAGCCATTGAGCTGCATGATTGGGCTCTAATGTCTCTGGGGCTGGGTAAAGACACATGTTTTGATATGCATGCAGTAGGTTAACACCTTCGAGCCTCGCATGACTATCAAAAGGTAAAACAAAGCTTGAGGTTGTTTGTTTATGCTGTTTTTTTTAATGCCTTTACAATGGCACAATTAATTTGTGTTTTTCTTATTGTGTAGTTTGGTTCATCCACTAAAAAAGGTTTTCAAACATGAACTTTGTCTTTCTCATATTTCACAACAACAGGAAAATCTCTGGAGCGTATCAGATCTAAATCAAGGACATTATAGGGATCATGCAGTATTATGGAATTAAATGATGTGTATCGATGGCGAGAATAAGATTTATATTCATTGTGTGTTGGTGGCACTCCTCATACAGTATTTGTTTAATCACAGGACTGTGCGCAGATGCTTATTCACAACTCAGTGGATGGAAATCGTGACTCGGCAAGCAACCGGTTATTATGTGCTTGTCTTTGAATCATGCAGTGCAGGAACACAGTGAAAAACTCTGCACAGAAAGACACACACACATAATGAGGGTAAGATGGCACTTGATTCTTCTCTCTGGCATTTGCGATCACCTTCCCAACAACCGTTTCTTTAAGATGGTGTAACACATCACTTATTCCTGCAGATGTAGAATAAGCATGTTGAAGGGGCAAACACCGGGGGGAAATAAGCAAATGTATGTGAGTTCAGGATGAGTAAATATGAGCATCCTGTTACTACACTGTGATTCAGAGATGAAAACACACGCTGCATGTATCCGCAGCATCGGGAGCTGGCTCATATTCGCTCATTCATTAGCACACTGACGCAGCAGATACTGAGGCTGCTGGCTGCTTTTCACTTTTCCACCCCTCACACTCGTTCGCTGCTGCTTCAAATCCCCTTCACTTGCTTCAGAGATTTGTGTGTGTGTGTGTGTTTGGAGTCATATCAAAGCCCAGGAGCAGAGGAGGCAGCGACGGTTATGCAATGCCAGTTATTTATAAACCCTCCTCGCTTGTTCCTTTTTTTCCCCCATTCCTTCCCTCCTTCCTTCCTTCTTCCCTTTCCCAGTTCACGGCCCTTCCCCCCTCACACTTCCTTCCAACTAATAACACACATGGACACAGCCTGATATCCAAACAGTACCGGTTCCAAACCTTTCTGCCCACTGACTCCGACAGTGCCGCCATTTTTCTCCTCGTCGGGCACCTCCACATGTGTGACAGGTGGTTGTTGCTCAGCGTGCGATACGGAAACCAGGCGGTATTTAAACACAGCGCCGCAGCTGCACTTTGTCTCCCTGTCGCAAATTTGCCACCAGAGATTACACACGGTTTGTCTTTTCACACGAAGGCTTTATTGTCGACATCTAATTGTAGCCGAGCAGAGGGGAAAGGAGAGTGTGTGTGTTTGGTGCAGGACTCAACTTCTCACATTATAACTGTTACAGAGATTCATGCAAGAGTCCATGCTTTCTTCATTACTCCTGAGAAATGTGTTTTCACAGGTCCCTTCTCTTTCCTTCCTGCATGTAAAACTTTATTATTTGCAATTGAGCAAACTCTTTACCTCTAGAAACTTGATTTTGTGCAGCACTGCAAGATAAGTCTTTCCCAGAGGTAATTCTCTGAGTGACAGTATTTTATTTCACCGTTTAACACCGACTCAATATCAACAAGGCCAGCGTTACTTTACAGCAGGAACTAAATGAGAGCAGCAGGACAAATGAGGGTTATTTTGTGAGGCCTACAAGACGATAAATAATTCTAGGAGCTATTACATTCTCCTTCTTCTATTCATTTTCTATCAATGTTTCTGAACATTTATACAAGTGTGACACATGTTTGAGAACATTTATTTTTATTTGCTTTGTGTTTAATTGCGATATCTTTAGATAAATATGGTTGTTGGGTAGAGCTGCTTAGCACTAACTGCATGTTAGTGACATCTGCATCTCTCATGCATGTGAAAATAGACACCAGCTCTGTTTCTGACACAAACAAACACAAAACAATTTGACGACAGTGACTCAGTTCACTAAGCTTTTCTTCATTGAATCATTGAAAATGTTCTTGGCCCCCATCTGTGAGCTTAGGCCTGTTTTGGAAGTGGAAAAACTCTCTAATCTTTTCCCTAAACTTTACAAAATTTACGAATACAACAAGAAAACCAAACTTAGTTTTGTGGAATTCTATAGCCTCTGCAGCTAATCTGCTCCCCCTATAGTACAAGTGAGAATACTGTCAGATAAACTGCTTTTCCAATTACCTGAAGGCCTCGATAAGACGTTCCACTTTCTGGGCTTCTCCCTGGACACGAATGTGGGCCTGAAACTTCCTCAGCGCTTCGTCAAGCTCCATGCCTGAGAAGTCCATCTCATCCACAACACAGCTGCGGAGAACAGAGAGGAAGAGAGAGAGTAGTTGAATTAAAAAAGTACATATAGTACAGCCATATATTCAGTGTATTATATCCAGATGACAGTAAGTGGCTTTCTTGTGGTGGGATGTGTAAAAACTGTGGATAAACTCTCAAGATAAAAGATCAAGTCTGTTTCTTACTGCACTACTCTGCCGGCTGCAGGTATTAACCATGCACGGACACCAGGGACAAGACTGGGCCCGGCTATCTTCTCTGAGCCACAGCTGCCGAGACTCGCACACATCCACATGCACACACGCCTGATTCCTCTGGGCTTAAAATCCTCCTATTACCTGACAAGCCCGGCTTAATGACTTTAATTAAAAAAAGCAAAATACCCCGGCCGCTGAGTTCAGGGGGGATAGATGTGTCCAATGTGGAGGTGAAATTAGCTTTTGAAGTGAAAGGTGACTTTGGAAACAAGTTGGGAGTTTTTTGGTTTCTTGTAAGTTTCTCTAGCTTTCATGTGAGATTTGCTGTAGAGACACAAAGTGGAATAATAATCAAACTATGACATTGTTCGAAATCCATCTACTACTACTACTATCTGTACTTATACTCCAGTCAATTTGTATTACATCTAGTACAGCTATTGCTGATACAGCTTCATTACTGTGAACAAAGCGAGTTAATGAGTTGAGTACTTGACTGTGACACATGCTGCTCCAGCAGAAAGATAGCTGAGTCTACGGTACTGTCTGACGCACCATGTCCCACCACGGATCAGTGCAAACCAGCTCAGAATAAGAATACCACTCTGTACAAGCATTGTTCTAATATTACAAGAAATACTTCTGCATCTCCTGCTCATATTTCTACATGAGCTGAGGAGGTAAAGAGGGTGGTCCACTGTCCAGAAGGTCAGTGGTTAGATCCTCAGGTACTTCAGTACCAAAACAATAATAAATCCTTTTTACTTCAATATATACTCCTTTATACACATATTTGACTATACACGGAACAGCAGTGGCTCTGGAGCCTTCAAGTAAAAAGTTGGAGGTGTAGGGCTGTCGTGCCTCTCTGATCGCCCTCCTCGTGATTCTGTTGCTCTCTTCTCCTCTCCTCTCTCCTTTCTTGCCTGGTTGTCACTCCTCGTTCATGTAGCATCAGACGAGACGCTCTCCAGCCGAGTTACATCTGTGCCCTCTTTCTCCCCTCATCTCTTCCACACGCATACAGTAAACACACACATGCTGTTATCGTGCATAGACTTTGCTGATCTTTGATGTCTCAAAGTAAGTTTTTAATTGTATGTTCGCAAAGACGTGATAAAATGAAATATCAGGCCAGATGGAACCATATTTTGAGCAGCCGATGAGAAGATGACAGACTGAAAACAGATCTCATTTGCTCAACAAGTTCGCTATATTATCCGTAAATGAGTCCTCAGGGTGCCACATTTCTCTGAGCTCAATCCATAACCACAATTTGGCTTAATTGACTGGAAACGTTTTAACTATTGTTGTTTATGCGTGAAGAAATGTGAAGAGAACAAGGTGCCATTAGCTCCATAAGGAAAGGAGGAAGATTCATGGATATGGAGACTGACAACTACAGCACACACACACACACACAGGCCCAGTAAACCACTTGTGAGCGATTTTCACATTAGACTGCAAACCCCTCACCCACTCTCCTGTGACTATCTAAAGCACTTCCACACGCACTTTACACACTCCCATCATGCTCCTCTTCAACATCACTTCCATGCTGAGTGCCGCTGTGCGACAGCTCTTTAGAAACTAAAGAAAACATAAATGTATCCAAATCTATGCCGTGAATTTGGAGTTTGAAGCCTTCAAGGCATAATGTTAGTGTTAATACTCGTAATCATGGCGGTGTCCATTTAAGCAGATATGGATATTAGATGAGGTACTGAACTCGGTGGGTTGCTGTGTTTGTGTTTCATGTGACTTTGCAAAGACTAGAAGTGTGTTCTTGGTTTGATAACTTAAGGACAGGATAAAAGAAAGATCTGCAGTGTTTCCTCCGGTTGATATGCAAATGTTAAAAGAAGTGGTGAATAGTAGGATGTAATAGAATAAAAAAGACAATTACTGAGATAAAGTGGGGACGGTTTGACAAAAGAAGGAAATAAGAGTCGGCAGAAGGAGAGAGGGAGAGAGTGTGTGTGTGTGGAAGGGACCTCTACATTTTCAAAGCAAATAAAACGCAATCAGTGTGATGACCTCAAAAGAAAATTATAGGGTGAAGTGAATCGCGTGTGTGTGTGTTTGTGTGTGTGTGTGTGTGTGTGTGTGTGT